ATGTTTTGCATTAAGCCATTCTAAAGCTATAACTAAGGCAAAGTATGGGTACGGGCAAAAGTTTTCTACACCCAGGGTGTGTCTACATGTGCCCCTGACTGCACAGTTGGTATGGCACAGTCATTTAGTACTTGCTTTAGTTTGCACAGTACCCACTGGTACTACGCAGTCCCAGAGGTGCACAGGTTGTTTCTGACCCTACATTGCCATAGCAACAAGCTATGGTGACGTAGTAGCAGTGTCACAGTTAGTGCCCACCAATGCTATGGCGATGTAGCACCTCATGTAGATGTGCCCTCTGTCTACGATCATGCAGCTTACTTTAAGCCATTTGATCATAGTTCGGGATGGACATATGCAGATGTTTGCTAGTGCTATGAGCTGAGCCAGGGACCTGGTGTAAGTAACTTGGGGTGAGAGATGGGCAGGTGGGATCGGAGTGGGGGCTAGTAGGTCTGCGGGGGAAAAGGGAGGTTTCTGGGTCCAGGGGAGTTGCCTGTCCAGGGGTGGGTGTCAGGGAGCTAAAAATAACCTGGTCAGGGTATAGGAGGGTAGGAAGAGTGTAACTCCAAGGCTGGGGTAAGCACCTAGGGCTGCCTTCCAAATGTGTACAGACATTCAATAGATCAAACTAATCCAGGGGTGGGCAAGTATTTGGACCTGTGAGCCATATATGGAGTTCTGGTGAGCTGTCAAGGTCTGGGTCAGCCTTGTTGACGCAGCCAGGGGCCTTCAGACTTGGGTTTGACCTTTATGCTTAACTCAAGCTATATGCTTAGCTTGAATTGTGGTTGAGACATGCACCCAGTGAAAGGAGCAGATGGAAAAATACTGTCCCTGCCTTAAAACAACTTGGGAACTTGGCTAACTGAATTGAATGAATATAGCCTGGGGAAAAGAGGAATAGTCAGAGCAAGACCTACCCGCACCTAAGAATGAAAAAATCACTTCAGAATAGAAAATTCCAGTTAAAGGTAACTATATCTGGCAAACAGAAGAAAGATTAAGACGAAGGCATAAGCTAATTTTATATATTAGAAAATGAAAGCTATATGGTATATAAAGAGAGGTGAGAGAGTGTACCCTTCCCAACACTCCTGGAGGAAGCCTGAAGAGATCCTGTCATTGTTCCAAGATCCTGCGTCAACATCAAATGTGGAAGCCAGGAGCCCCCAGACAAGAACTCAGTCTGACCAACCAGTGAAGTCATGTTCGTGATATTATGGGTTAGTAAGCATTTGCTTTGACTAGTTACATTTCTAAATTTTAACTGCTTATTACTGCTTCAACTCTTATTAGAGCTGTATATATTAGGGTTCAATAAACTTGCTTTTAGTTTAGCACAACCATTTCTTAGTCTCCTTGCTTGGTATAAGACCCATTATAGTATCAGGGGAAGCAACAGCCCCCATCCTCAGGTCTCCCACCATGCAACAGCTCACTAAAAGTCCCTAAGCAGCCCCCTCCTGTCCACCTGGCCACACTTGCTGCTTGCGCAGGTCCTGGCCAGTCGCCATGGGGAACCTGGGATCATGGGGCAGTGACAGCACAGGGCCAGAGCCCAGGGCAGAGCTGCGGTCCATCCCCTGCATGCCTTTGCCTGCAGAAACAGTGCCTATCACAGAGGCATGTGGGTAGCAGATCACAGCTCTGCGCTGTGCTCAGCTGGGATGGGGCTGAAACCTGGGGGAGCAGAATCTGGGAGTGGGATGGGTGGGTAGGTGGGACCAGGATTGGGGGGCCCCAGCTCTGCACTGTCACCGCCCTGTGATCCCAGCCCCCAGCCCTGCCTGCCTTCCCCTCCTGCTCCCGGATTCTGCACCCCAGATTTTAGCCCTGGCCCCATCCCAGCTGCATGTGGACCAGTGCTGTGATTTGCTGCCCACACACCCTTGCAACAGGCACTGATTCTGTAGGCAGGGGCATACAGGGAGCAGACTGCAGTTCTGCCTCAGGCCCCAGCCCTGTGCTGTCACTGCCCCAATCTCAGGGTCTCCATGGGGACTGGCTGGGACCCATGCAGACAGGGTGCATGGCCAGGTGAATGGGCTGGGGCTGTGGATGGGTGGAGAGCTGCATCTGGGGCAGGGGCCAGCCAGGATCTTGGGGTGGTTACAGTGTGGGGCCAGGGCTGGGGCAGAGCTGCAATCCACTCCCTGCACAAACCTGCCCGTGGAACCCGCACCTGTTGCAGGGGTGTGCAGGGAGCAGATCGCAGTCTGCCCCAGTCCCGTGCTGTCACTGCCGCATGATCCCATGCCATAATCCCAGCCTCACCCACCTGTCCCGCTCCTGAACACTGCTACCTGCTCACCCATAGCCCCATTCCATCTGCCCAGTCACGTGCCCTGCCCACACATCCTGCCCCCAGCAGTGGGTGCAGAACAGATGGGCCAGAGTGATTGGGTAGCAGGGCTGGATTCAGTGGTGGTAGCTGCTGAAAGGAGCTGATGCCATCGGGGCTGCCAGGAAGTGAGTCTGGCCAGTGCACCACTCTAACCCCACTGTGTGCCGGGGAGTGGTGGGATCGGCTACATGCTCCATGGCACAAGCTGCCCCTTCTGCTTGGGCTGGGTGGGACCAAAGGACCTGGCATGGAGCAGACAAAATCCCTCTGTGGGCTGGATCCGGCCCGTGGGTCATATTTTGCCCACCCCTGGGCTAATCTGTTCCCAAACTAAGTCAGTTTACCTAGCTCTGCTCATGCTAGCTCCAGATCCAGGCTAAGGACAGAAGTTGTATTTGTCTCTGAGCACAGTATGCCCATATTTGTTCTGGAATAAAAATGTCCCAGTGTTGGTGTGTACACACCTTGCCCTTCCAATCAAGGTTTAGTGAATGACTGAACGTACTGTCATTTTGCTGCAATTGATTCAATGAAGCATGTGGTAGGCCAGAAGAGGGCACCCCTGAGCTGAGTCGCCTGCCTCATTGCACCCATCCAAAAACCAAGCCTCGGATGCTGTCTCAGGGGTGCCAACTTCTGGCCAACCCCCTTCCTGGAGCAGACCTGCAAGCCTGGGGTAGTGCTGCCACCACCCGGACTCAGGTCTTTGTTTGGGCCCTGTGCCACTTGGGATACACAGGCCCTATAGACCTAGGGGTTGCTTAACCTCAGCAGAATTTATCTAGGTGCTTCTTATGGCCTGAAGCATGGAAAGTAGTCAAATGAGTGAAGGGAGCAAGGAGGCCTGCCCAGTCCCTCTCAAGCATGTACCACAAGGCTGGTTATATCGGACAGCGTTATTGGATAGAGAGGGTAGGCATGGGGAGGGGTACAAGTCAGAGAATTAGCAAAAGAAAATCCCAGAGAAAACAGAAAGAGCTTGGTAGCCTTTTGCTATGTTTCTAGATCACTTCATCCTACGTTACTAGCTAAAATTCAGGTAAGTTACTCACAAGTATCATCCAGAGGCTGACTGAGTTTCCTCTGGAGGCAGGCACTGTGTGAATGCGTTCCAAGATGTTTCTCCTCCCTCTCCCAAGATGGAGGGACCCTTAAATAACTTATCTGACCTCATCCCTTGGACCCAACCACAAACCAGTATTTTCAGACCACGGCTGACGCCGGTTGGTTAGTTTAAAAAACGTCAGCACCCTTAGGTGAGAGTTTAGAGCTACATAGGAGAGATGATGAGCAAGTGCATTCAGCATCCAGTTTGTAACCAGAGTAGGGGGTTTTAGTCTGTAGCCCTATATCTGTGAGCCAGACAGGCAGAGAGATTTATTTTTCCACAATGCAATCCCAGGATAACTGTTCAGCTATATTTTGCAGTGCCCCAAGATAACCTGTTGGTATATCTTATCCTATGAATCCTTTTAGGATCTATCCCAGGACAACAGACATGGGCATCTGAATGGTTGCATTTGGTCTCAGGCAGGGTTCGAATTACATTCTGACTCTTGTGGGGGTCTGCGGTGGTGGCACCCGGAAGGAGCCACTGCCACTGCCTGAAGTGTGGAGCAGTGGGTCAGAGTGGCTCTTGTCTCTTATGGGGGAGCTCTTGTTTCTTATTGGGGGGGGGCTTAGCTCCCCCGAGCTCCCCTGTAATTTGAACCTTGTTCCCTGGATAAAATGGTTTGTCCCAGGAAAAATGTAATTCCTGTTTGTAGCCATAGAACCAGTACAGCTAGCATAGTCCTATGCCCGGGCTAGTAAGCTCTACTTCTGCAGAACTAACTTAGCCCTGGTACAGTGCTGTGTTAATGTGGCTACTGCTTCTGGTTTTAGAGCTAGAACATGCAGAGCTATCCTGCATATCTCTACACAGTGATGCTTTGCTCCACAGAGACATGCCATTAAACCTAAATTTAGCAAAACATTTAAGCAAATACTGAAGTCTCATTGAAGTCAAAGTAAAGTACATGGCGCATCATAACCTTTGTGCATTCACAGGGGACATGATGGAATAAACTGAAGCTGAATTTAGAATGCAGTAGATGGCATATTTTTGTTACCCTGTTAAACTGGAATGACATAAAAGAATGGTGTTATTACTGAGTGGAAATAATACAGTCATGACAAAAAAAACCCATGGTATCCAAGACAGAAAACCATTAATGTTATAGATCTTCAACTCTTACATGGGGACCGGCAGTGCCCTCCAGAAACCAAGGAAAACAAAGCAATTTAACTGATTCCCTTTCCCTTAATAGTTAATCCCTCACTGCCTTCATCAGAATAATGGTATGAAGAGCAGAAATGGGGCTTCAGTCAGGAAGTCCTATTCTCTAAAGAATAACTGTTAGGCTCCTGCTTCAACTACTGTATGCTTCTGTTTAATTTTACCTACTAGATAATTGTAAACAGTTACTTAGACAATATGGCAGATTTAAGTAAAATACAAATAGAAATCTGAAGGTCTGATTCTGAATTCACTTATATCCCTATTATTCAGGAATTACCACCCTTGAATTTACTGATGTTCAAGCAATGGAGGAACAAGCCATAAGACTTTGCATATTGTCAACTTGGTGTCATGCACACAAGCATTTCTTACCTTTATCAAAGATTTCCTTCAGAACGCCTCGTTTTATAAGCTCTTCCCTGCTTTGCCTCATTGATATCTTTCTTTCCAATGCTACAACAAAAAGACAGAGGTAGATATAATTACAAAAATAAAGGTAATTTTAAAAGACTGTGTGCCCTTTATAGCTTTTATTTACTTTATACTGTTTGCCCCACTGAAATCCATGGTAAAACTCTCATTTGTATCTGAAAGGAAGGACTATTATAACTCCATAGAATTCTACTGGCTGTCATGGCACGGCTGTTGATATGTGTTGATCCAGAAAGACCTCTATATACACTCTTATACTCCTTCTGCTTTACTAAAGACAAATAGCATTAAATAGCTTCTAAATAGGAATTGAATAGCATTAAACCGTGGAGCCTTCCTATACCAGACAACACCAGACAGTATGAAAAGCTTGGTCCTTGGTTCCTCCAGGGCCTGGACCTGTACCTTTGAAGTCAGTGGGAGTTGTCACTAACTTCAGTGAGAAAAGAGCAGGCTCTTACAGCACAATATAGGACACATTTGTTTGTACAGGCATTTCCTCAATAGAGGAAGTGATATTTAGGCTGGTAGAATGCCTTCTTCCTAAGGATGACTTCCACAGAAAAGTTGACATGTGGACTACCGTTCATAAGAGGACATCAATGTTGTGTCCAGGCCTCAAACAGAAATAAATCTGTGAGATTCCATTTAAAGTCAAGGAAGATTCACTGATTAACACCAGTCAAGGAGCTTGCCCAAAACTAAATAATTATTGTATTTGGTGCCTGGAGACCACAGGCACAGGAGGTGTATAGAATTCTAGTGGTTGATTAGTTCAGCACTAATTAAGAAAATGTCCAATTAACCAAAACATCACAAAGTAAATATATTCAGGTATGCACTAGAAAGAGAATGAGCAAGGGGCACAGAAAGTGATATGCAGGGGATGCTGAGACTATGTACGCTCTGCAAAAAACAAGGCTCAGCTTGCCAAAAAAGAGGGACTGTCAAGGGCAAATTACTTATGCCATATGCTCCCCTGTCAGATGCAGCACACAGCAAATGAGCAAGGAGGAATGAACTTCAAGATGCCCAAAGCAGATTTAAAGTGAACAAGGCTTTAAAATGCTCTCCCACTCCCCACCCCGGCATTTCCTCTGTAAACATGACTATATACCCCTTTGTGATATTGTCGTAGTATCTGGTAGTTGTGTGTGAGGGTTATTTCTGAAGAATAGGATAGATAAAATGGTCTAGGATGGTTTAATCATGGAGTATCCTGCCTTGAGCAGGGGGCTGAACTATGTGACCTCTTGAAGTCCCTTCTAGCCCTGCTTTTCTATGATTCTGATGTGATGGGC